TCCTTCTAATCTCTCCTCTCAGACTCCTCTCACTTGATTCTTTCTCCTCCTCTCAAACCAGGATGTTCTACCCTATTCTATCCATTGCACAGCATTGGAGAGAATTTTATTCACAATACAGAGGAAAAAATGGTTGTTTTATTAACAACACAGTGAAGAAATGGTGGCATGTTTACACAATCTTGAGACAGGTAATGCTTAGAATAAACATCACAATGTAATGTTTAGATTGAAACCACATACTGGCATAGAGAAATCTGCATTTTAAGGAACAAGGTTAATTGTGTACATCGCACAAGAACATTATACCAACATATATCCTTACAAGTGAGCACAACCATGTATGTTTTTCTGGGTCTGGGTTACTTCACTCAGGATGAAATTTCCTTGTCAATCATGTTATCCCAAATATCTTATTATCTCTACTTTTTTTCTGATTGAATCATAGGCTGGGTATAGTTGTCTAAGCTGTCATCTCTGGTCTCTTAGAGTCTGCAGGACATCTGTCTAGGCTCTTCTTGCTTTTGGAGCCTCCAGTGAAAAGTTGGGTCTGCCTTTGCACCTGTTACTTGGTCCTTTTTCCTTGGAGCTTTTCATAGTCTTTCTTTTTCTGTATATCTAGTGTTTTGATTATCATGTGGCAAGGGAACTTTCATTTGGAGTCCAATTAATTTGGAGTTCTAGATGCTTCTTGTATCTTTATATGCATTCCTCTTTTGGATTAGGAGAGGTTTTTTTTGCTTTATTTTTTTCTTGTTATTAATTACAGTTTATTCACTTTGTATCCCAGCTATAGCCCTCTTCCCCATCCCCTCCCAATCCCACCCTCCTTCCTTCTTCTTCTCCTTTGCCCCTCCCCCAGTGCAATGATAAAGAATGTCCTCCTCCCCTTCCATCTGACTATAGTCTATCAATCAGGTCTTATCAGGACTGGGTGTTTTGTCTTCCTCTGTGGACTGGTAAGGCTGCTCCCCCCTCAGGTGGAGGTGATCAAAGAGCCAGCCCATGAGTTCATGTCAGAGATGGTCCCTGGCCTTATTATTGGGGAGCCCTCTTGGATACTGAGCTGCCTTGGACTACTTTGTGCAGGGGTTCTAAGTTATCTCCATGCATGGTCCTTGTTTGGAGTATCAGTCTCAGAAAAGACTCTGGTGCCCAGATATTTTGGTTCTGTTTATCCCTTGTGGAGCTCCTGTTCCCTCCAGGTATTTCTATCTTCCCTTTTTTCATAAGATTCCCTTCACTCTGCCCAAAGTTTGGCTATGAGTCTCACCATCTGCTTTGATACCCTGCTGAGTGGAGTCTTTCAGAGGCCCTCTGTGATAGGCTCCTGTCCGGTTCCCAGTTTTCTCCTTCTTCACATGTCCTTCTCATTTGCCTTTCTCAATGAAGATTGAGCATCTTACCCAGGGTCCTCCTTCTTGATTATTTTCCTTAGGTGTGCAGATTTTAATATGATCATCCTATATTATGTGTCTAATATCTGCTTAAAGTGAGTATATGCAGTGTGTGTCTTTCTCCTTCTGGAATACCTCACTCAGGATGATCTTCTCTAGATCCCAAAATTTGCCTGCAAATTTCATGATATCTTTGTTTTTAATTGCTGCTTAATATTTCATTGTGAAAAGGTACCACGATTTCTTTATACATTCCTAAACTGAGGGATCTCTGGGTTGCTTCCAGCTTCTAGCTATTACAAATAAAGCTGCTATGAACATGGTTGAGGAAATGTCCTATATATATACTTGAACATCTTTTGGATATATGCCTAGGAGTGGTATGGCTGGGTCTTGAGGTAACACTGTTCCTGTTTACCTGAGAAAGCACCAGACTGATTTTCAAAATGGTTGTCCAAGTTTGTATTTCTACCAGCAATGGAATAGGGTTCCTCTATCTCCACATCCTTTCCAGAATGTGTTTTCACTTGAGTTTTTGATCTTTACCATTCTGATTGGTGTAAGGTAAAATCTGAGGTTTGTTTTGATTTGCATTTCCCTGATGGCTAAGGATGTTGAGCATTTCTTTAAGTGTTTCTCTGCCACTCTATATTCCTCTACAGAGAATTCAGTTTAGCTTTGTTCCCTATTTTTTATTTGGATTACTTTTTGGCAGCCCATTTGAAGTTAATGGCAAACTAGAGTGAACATCTCTGCAGTGGAATTTGTCCTCTTGGCCCTGGTTCCTATGTAAAGCTTGGTCTCTCAGAGATTGACCCTTGCAATTTTACAGCAGAGGACCATGAGAACTAGACAATGAATTCCATGCAATCCTGGCAACCAGACAGCAGGTTCTGTGTAACCTTGAGTGAGCCCTCTATGTTTTGGCTAAGTAAAATTGCCTCTGTGAGAAACTGCTTGTACTTTCCTGCTATTTAAGTGTTAACCTGACTTTCAGTAAAGGACACCTAGTTCAGAGCCTAGACTTGGTGTCCCACTTGGTGTTGCCCTGTCTCCTTCCCCCCAGCCCTCACTCAGGTGGTATCCAGGTTTCACTGCAGGCCGGTGACAATAATTTTTTGCTGTTTAACTTCTTAAGTTCTTTATATATTCTGGATATTAGCCCTCTGTCAGTTATAGGGCTGCTGAAGATCCTTTTCCAATCTGTAGGCTGTTGTTTTGTTCTGATGACACTGCCCTTTGCTTTACAGAAGCTTTTCAGTTTCATGAGGTCCTGTTTATTGATTGTCAGTCTTAGAGCCTGTGCTGTTGGTGTTCTGTTCAGGAAGTTGTCTCCTGTGCCAATGAGTTCAATGATCTTCTGGGGGAGGTTTCTTATATAATTTTGTTTAAAATATTTTCTGGGCCTTTGAGTTGAGATTCATTGCTTCTTTAAGTCCTATTAGTCTTAAGTTTGCTCTTTTTCATTGTGTGAAAATACCTCAATTTCTATATCCATTCCTCCGTTGATGGGCAACTGGATTGTTTCCAGGTTCTGGCAATTACAAATAAAGGTGCTACAAACATGGTTGAGTAAATGTCCTTTTTGTGTACTTGAGCAAATTTTGGGTATATGCCTAACAGTGGTGTAGCTGGGTCTTGAGGAAGCACTATTCCTAATTGTCTGAGAAAGCACCTGATTGATTTCCACAGTGGCTGTACCAGTTTACACTCCTACCAGCAATGGAAGAGGGTTCCCCTTTCCCACAAACTCTCCAGCATGTGTTCTCATTTGAGTTCCCATAGTAAGGGGAAAAGGGACTATTTCTGACAGGGAATCATTGGCAGGTTCTTGACCTCCCAAAGTCCCAAGGGAGGAGCATTCTTGCTAGGCATCAGAGGGGGACTTTGCAGGCATTCTTGAAGATAACTGATAAAACAAGGTCATATGAAAGGGGAGGAGGTACTCCCCAAGCAGTGGACTTGGAAAGGGGCAGGGAGAAGATGAGGGAGGGAAGGTGGAATTGGGAGTAAATGAGGGAAGCTATGGGTGGGAAAGGAATGGCATTGGAGAGGAGAAAAATCACTAAGATGGGGGCATCTCTGAGAGAGGGGTGGCTCCCAGGAGTCTATGGGAAAGGTCCCTAGCTGAGACTCCTAGCAGCTAGGGATATAGACACTTGCTGTAGCCTTGAGGAAATCATAGTAGAGGGAGGATGACACCAATTCATTCATAAAAGCTTTCACCTAAAATGTGACTCACCTACAAGATGTGTAGGGATTGAAGTGGAGTGGAGATTGAGGGGATGCCTAGCTGATGAGCAGACCAACATGAGACCCATCCCATGAGAGAGAGCCACCCACTGACACTGTTAATGAAACATAGATGTGCTTGCAGGAGCCTAGCATAAATATTTTCTGAAAGACTGCATCCAGTAGCAGATGGAAACAAATGCAGAGACCAACAGGCAATTAAGAGGCCAATATCCAGGAGTTTTGTGGAAGAGCAGGAGGAAGGTTTAAGGCAGCCAAGCGGTTGAGGACAGCACAAGAAGGCTTAGGGAATCAACTAACCTGGGCATATGGGTGCTCACAGAGACTGTACCACCAAGAAAAAAGCATGTATGGGCTGGACCCAAACCCCCAATACACATGTAGCAGATAGGCAGCTTGGTCATCATAGGAATTCCCTAACAATGAAAGTATAGGTTCATTGTTGCCTGCCTTTGTATCACTTTCTTTTAACTGGACTGCCTGGTCTGAACTCAAAAAGAGATGTGTCCAGTCCTACTTGACATTTCAAGGCTGGTTAATATGAAGGGGAAGTCTACCCTTTACTGAGAATAAAGTGAGTGGGGAAGAAAAAGGAGAAGTAGAGGTAAAGGCTTAAAGAGGAGGAGGTAGTGTAAGTTCACATCTTTATGTAAAGGCAAATAACTAATTAATTAAGTAAGTAAGAAATAAAGGAAGTAAAAATGAGTTGAAACAGTACACACTGAGTGCTAAGAAAGAGGAGAAAGGGTTTTAATAGGGTGGGGGAACTGAGGAGTCTGCAGAAATGTCCACAGCTGAGCAGAGCTAGATGCACTAAACTTCACTTCCTTAAACATAAAAACCAGAGAAACTCACAACTGATTTCATCATTTTTATTAATTTTATATTTTATTTCTAAGGGTTGGTATACAGAGATGTATGTGTTGCTGGAGGCAAGAAAGTTCCTCAGAGCCTGTGTATGTCCACTTACAGATGGTTGAAAACTCTTTAGTGTTTGCTGTGAAGCATCAAGATGTTCAAGAGCAAACTGTTGCAAGAGCAACAGTTGCTCTTCCCAACTGAGTTATCACTCCTGTCCGTACAAACTGAGCTTTAAAAAAGTCTTTTTTGTCTGTCCCTTCTCATATCATAACAGATTAATGTTTGTTTTCCCTTTTGCTCTGATCCATTGGTCATGGTTTCTGCTCAATCCAATCCAGACACGTTTCAGTCCAAAGAATCCCTGTTGAGATGTGTTTGTTGCAATCAACTAAGTTCAATCTCAGTTTCCATCTCATGGGACAAATATCAAATCGGTACAGCATCAAGGTAGATATGAGGTAGAATAAACCAGAGTTCAGGGCTGTCCATCTGATCATGATTTCACCTTCTTTCCAGCTGTTTATATCCTGAGCCACGATGCTATCCTTCCCGAAATTCACTTTAAACATGGCAACAATACCATAGTCTACCTAGGAGTCCCTGGTAAAAACAGTGGTGGCTACATCAGGAAGACAGGTGTAGGTCACAAGGAAGCAGGTGCTAGGATCTATCTCTTCAGGCATTTGAGAGGGGGTTCCAAGAAAGGCCTCTGTGAAGAAGCCAGGGCATGGAATGCTCCGGCCAGCAAGTGAGGATGGAAATCCACCATGACCTGCCACCCAAAGGTCTCAGAGACCTCAGAAGCATGAACTGTGATGAAATCCAGTGCCTGAATTTTCAGCTGCTCTGCACTGTGCAGGTCAGCCAGGATGAGAGTGTGAGCAGCATTCTCCACGGAGAGGTCCCTGCAGAGCGCATCCTCACACATGACCTTCAAGCGCTCCAGTCCATACCTGTCAGCAGCTGCCAGCACACCAGTGGCCATGGTGTGGAGGTTTGGTGCCTTCCCTGTGTAAATGAAGCCCATCATCTCCTTGAAGACTTGAGGCTCCAGGATCTTGATCTTAATGTGGTTCTTTTGCCTCTCCTCCATGTCATGTTGAAACATGGCCCTGAAAACTGGAGAGCGAGCTGCTAAGATGGGCTTGTGAGCCCAGAATTCCTGACCAGATACCAAGAGACAGCAGTCTGTGCAGAGGGAATTTTCCCAAAGCTCTCCTGCCTCATCTGTCAAATTGCAGCTTGGAACTGTGATTGAGGGTGTCTGTCGAGAAAGGCTAATAACATCTTGTCCCATACTCACCTTGCAAAAGAGTGTGAGCCTGCCATCAGGTAGTAGCCATTGGGCCTGGGACAAGAGGAAATCTCGAGGGATGAACTTTTTGAATCCCCAATGTTGGTCTGGCAGGAAACTCTTGACACTTTGGCTCTCCACATTATTTCTTTTCTCTCCTTTGGCATCTAAAATCCAAAACTGAAACTTTGCCCTAATGGGGATCTTTGGACAGCTGAGCAATGCCAAGTAAACTGAAAGGTAATCTCTGCTTTCTTCATCAAACCCGTTCTGGTATAATTTCAAACACCGTTTTGTTTGGTCATTGTCTTCTGATGAGAAAACTGGACTGCTAATGGCTTCAATCCCTCCAGAGAAAAATGGAAGTTACTGATGGTCCACTTGTAGGAAAATGTCTTAATGGTGATCTGTGTGGAGCCCCAGCTCTCAGCTGCCAGATCCTCTGACATTTCTGCTGTAGATAGCTTAGAAACTAAACTGGATTAAAAGAAAAAAGAGAGCTAGCATTATATTCTCTTCACCATGCAGGACACAATTATAGATAATTATTAAAATTTAAATTCAAATACACCTATGTTCTCTGTTCTATGACTTTGGAAATTTGTATCTCTCTGAAAATATTTATCTAGATTTGAATAATAGTCAGAGAAGTTAGTACTAGTCACTAGCCACTGTTAAATTGTGTGTGTGTTGACTTTTAAGTCAATGGTATCTAGTTTGTGTTATCATATCCAACTTCTGAATAGTGGAAAATATTAGACTCTCATTTACATGTGTTGTATTAGTCAGGGTCCTCTAGAGTAGCAATGCACAGAAGAAACTTTTTTCTATATATGCAGAAAGTGAAATTTTGACAATGACTTACAGGCTAAAGTTCAGCTAATCCAATCATAGTTAAAGCCAGTACTCACTTAACCCACAAGGCTAGAAGTCTCAAGGCTAGAACTCTTCAGTATATGCTGTACTCCTGAAGAAGTAGGCACTAATGCCGGTGAAGTGATCCACTTGCTATCAAGTTGAGGTTGAGCAGGCAAAGAACCAAGGTTTCCCTCTTCCATGTGCTTATATAGGCTTATGGCAGAAGGCATGGCCTAATTAGAGGTGTGTCTTCGAGCCAGAAGTGCTGGATTAAAGGTATGTGTTTTTCCTACCTCAAAAGTCTGTATTGGAATTGGGTCTGCCTACTTCATTGTAAGCAAAAAATTCTAATAGGTGTGCTCTCCAATTTGAACTTTACTAAGTTCCAGAATTGGTCCTATTTGGGGGGGAATGGACATCAAAAGTGTGTTGGGCTTACCATGGTGTATGTTCCTTAAAAAAAGGATGAAGTCAGTATCTGTCCAGCTATTGTTTACCCTTGTGATTGTGTTATACTCACCCCTGCCAAAGACAGGGAATGGTGTTGTCTCTATCTTGTCAGGGGTCTGAGTATTCCCAGCATGGAGGACAGAAGGAAGACCTCATATGGTGTGCAGAAAGCAGAGCCAGGAAGATGTGAATGTGGGGTTCTTTCTGCTTTTTATTCCAAACAAACCAGCAGTCTGTGTGATGGCTCCTTCCAGTATTGTTGCTGGTCTTATACTTTTCTCTCAGAGAATCATCCTTGGAAATATTTGCCCAGCTCTACTTGAGGGTGTGGTTTATGAATATCCTAAAGTTTTCTTGATTCAATCATAGAATAGAGGTATTCAATACCTCATGTTCTGCATGCTCCACTGGTGAATTCTGTCCTCTTCAACCTTAGAACTGCCATGCTTCCTCTACTAGGCTTTAGTAGTGAGAGATTATGCAGGTTTCCAAAGATTACGTAGGTTTCCAAAGGTGCAGTATATAGTCTACAGAACCAGAGATTGCACTTTGTGTTGTTTCCCATTCTGTAAAGTGATGTGTAAATGCTCCCTACATCTCTTTTCTCTCCTCAGTTCTTCACATCTTGGAGAGACTCACTAAGCCTAGAGAACACATAAATAGTTTCTGTGATTCAATCAGCTCTGCAGTTCCTAGGCTGCTCTCCTGTGAGTCTGGCTCCTATGCTGCTCATCCCTCAGTACAGCATAAAACAGTCACTTGGCTTCGATCCTTTGACTTTAGCTCCTTAGTTAGACTTTTTGTATGTCTTCACTAAATATTTTCCAGGTGGCTTTAGGGTTATAGTAACTAGTACCCCCTTTCTAAAATCTTTCATTTGAATATTTGCAGGTGATCAATGTAGGCCACCTCATTTGCAAGAAGTGTGCTCCTAATTTTGCTTACTGAGCACAGAAGAGCATGATCCAAGAGTGGTAGTAGCCTCTTACAGGAGAGCTGCAATCTTCTGGAGCAGGAATCTTGGGCTCTGACCATAAAGGTTCTCATTCTAGGAGTGAAAACGGGGAAGGTGCGCTTTGTGGGATAGTTCTCTTTGAGAAGTGACTGACACAAGGAATTCAGGTTGTAATAGCACGATCATGGGAAACTCAGAGTCCACTGTGCAATGACTCAATGCAAGACAACTTTATTAGGAAAGCGATCAAACTCGGGACCCAGCTCTCACTGATGCAGCAGCAGAGAACTGGGACCCTGAGCTCTGAGTGAGCAGAGTTTTTTAAAGGGAAAGATTGTAAGCAGGGGTTTTCCATGACAGCAAGTAGGGGGCACCTGTTTTCATGACAGAAAGCAGGGGGTTCATGCCTTGATGTTACAGGATTGGGTAAAAGCCATAGGGGAGAGGTGACTGTTTGCATAATCACAATTTCCATTCTTCAAAACTACATCTGAATTGTTGGGAAGAATTTTCCCAACCACTTCTCATTAATTACTGCAAGGGAGATTGTCTCTATTTTATTTTTTTAACCTTTTTTATTTTTCATTAATTACACTTTATTCATTTTGTATCCCCCCATAAGCCCCTGATTGTCTCTATTTTAAACTAAACTTTCATTCTGTGATATTTCTTGAAAGCCATTGCTAGAAGTGCTAACATTGTTTTCTGCCAGGTGCACATTCTGTAGTATTTCCTGGTACGTCAGTTCTGCTTACAGTCAAGAAGGCTCCTCATTTTAAAATGGAGTCACTCAGGCTAACTTAATCTCTTCATTCCCCCTTTTACTTGTAAATAAAGAGGCCAATCTTGGGCTCTTACAATCCATGTTCATCTTCTAACTGGCAGTACTGGATTCTAATTACCATCAACTATATAATCCCTAGTCTTTTTCTAATATATCCTAACAACTTGTTAAGCAAGAATGATCCATAAATGACCATAAGCAAAAGATTCTACCTTTGAGCTGTTATAATTCTGGCTTTGTACATCAATATCACAGTACTAGTTTCTGCTCCAGCTTATCAAGAATATAGCTAATGTCGGGGAGCCCCCTTTGACTTAGCATTTCAGCCTGCAAGTGGGATTTTGGGCCAGTCTTCTCTTCTTCTGAAATTGCTTTAAAGTGTCAATAGGACCATTGGCATCAGGGTTAGGCAGGCTGAAATGCCAGCCAAAGGATGGGGCAATGGGGCAGTCCTCAGAAGTGTCTAGTTAGTTGATGATCCATCTGAGGACACAGTGAGCAATCATGTCAGCTTGCAGCAAGTTCAGATCTCAGCTTGTGGTCTCACCGATGTGAAAATCTGCTGAGACAAATTCAAACTAGAAAGAAAAATTAAAAATTGTCTAATAAATGGGAAAAGTTAGAGTTTGCTAAAGGAAATATATAAAAAGACTCATAAAAATAATATAAAACTGCATCCAATGGAATGAGTGCCAATTCTTCTTAGCTGTTTCTTTTGTAACCTTTATAAATAATTTTAATGTGTCCATGATCTGAAACTTTAACATTTTAACTGTGGATACAGCTGTTGGTAATCAGTCACCAATGGAGCTCAGCCATTTTTTATATACTCAGTATTTACTTTTCATCCCTATCTCCATGTTACACTGAAAGTTAGGCAGATATAAATTAATTGCTTTAGTATTAAACTCTGAATGCTTGGACTTTCCTTAACAAAGCAACTAGAAGAAATGAATTTAAAATATTCCTAAATCCTTCATCAAAGTCTACCTCAAAAATGGCAAATATTAAAAATACCATAAACAACAAAGGCAAAAAGTTCAATAGGAAATTCAGAAAAAAAAGAAAAACAAACAAACAAACAGAAATTGCTGACAGAATTCTACATAGAGCTGACTTTTAAACAAAAGCATGTCTCCAATTATTTATAAAATAGTCAGATTAAAACTAGGCTGAGACACCATCTTCTATTCCTTTTGTTGGCCACAATTAACAAGACTGATTTCTCAAAGATTGATTGGATTGGGAATGTTGGTTGGATTTCAGTCAGTACAACTGAAAGAAGAAAGACAATGCAGCCATGATGAGAGCTGATAGGTCAGATAGAAGGGGAGAAGGACCTCCCCTATCAGTGAACTACGGGAGAGGCATATAGGGAGAAGAGGGAAAGAGGGAGGAAGGGATTGGGAAGAGATGAGAGGGCATGCTACAGCTGGGATACAAAGTGAATACATTGTAATAAATAAATAAATAAATAAATAAATAAATAAATAAATAAATAAATAAGCAAACAAACAAACAAATAAATAAATACAAACAAAAAATACTACAAAAGGCTAAATCTAGCCTGTGGATCTCTACAACTTTCAAATGTGGTACTAAGCTGTTGATTGCGATTTGTGTTGATTTTGAAGGGATTGACTAAATAATACTCGAACAATGAAATATACCACAGCAATAAAAATAAGAATTAAATGGTAAAAAAAAAAAAATACCATAGTAGAATCTCTGACTTTTTGGGTCAAATAAACATTTTGGACAGATGATCTTATCATGATGAAATGCATCTTTAAGTCTATCTGCAGAAGACAACCAAGAGAAAATTAAACTCTCAAGCTTGTGACTAGAAAATAATCAGTCAATGTTCCATCAGCTTACCCCAATTTTATTTAGCAAATTATAAGGCTGAACTTGTGAAATTTTATACCAATATAAACACATCAATAGCAAAGAAGGGGGAGAAATCTGAAACATTGCCTTAAAATATTTATTTACACCCTTTCATCAATTTTTAACTCTGAAACTTTTCTCCAGATCCTTAACTTTTATATAAATTTTATATTTTTTATCCAGCTATTTATCATAAAACATAGACAAATAACATAAAGCCTGTAAGCAAGGCAAAACTGTTTCCCTTTTAAAATAAAAGGCCTACTACTGTAATGCCAGGTTCAAGGGACCCTCAGAGACCACCAGGAGATGACTCAATGCAATTATAAGAGAGCTTTATTTCAAGAGCAATTGAACTCAGGACCCAGGTCTCACTGACGCGGCAGTAGAGAAGTGGAACCCTGAGCTCTGAGTGAATAGGATTTTTAAAGGGAAAGTCTGTGATCAGGGGGTTTCCATGGCAGCAAGGAGGGGGTCACAAGTCTTCGCTTTACAGAACTGGGTAAAGTTTA